TAATTATTTGCATTTATTTAGTTAAATATTTATATAATATTTTTAAAATTTGAGGATGATGACTTAAAAATAAACAAAAGTCTAAATAATTGAAAGATATTATATTGTTTCATGTAAATTATTACTTATAAATGAAATTATATTAAAAAATAATCTTTAATTGAAAATTTTAATAATTTATAATATAAAGTTTTCATTTTAGAATGGCTGATAATAGAAATAAAATTTATAATAAGAAACAATGTCATCCAACTCGAGGTAAATATGTGAAATATAAAGAGGAAGTGTTACTTGAAGCTATAAACAGTGTTATTAGTTCACCTAAAATGTCTGTTAGAGCTGCTGCTAAATTTTTTAAAGTACCCCGAGCAACTTTGCAGAGCAGGATAAATGGAAAAGTTGAAATTGGTGCAAAAGCAGGAAGAAAAAGTTTAATGCCGCTTGATCTTGAAAAAAAGTTACTCGATTTTGCAGACAACAGAGCTAGGATGGGCATTGGTTTTGGAAAAGAACAATTTTTGGTATATGCTGGCAAGCTTGCCAAAAAATATGGATATTCTTTTAAGAATGGCAAATCATCTAATAAATGGTGGCGACTACTTAACAATCGACATAACAAAAAAGTAACTCTTCGACAACCAAAATCAACAGCATCAGTTCGTCATCAATGCCTGAATCTGATAAAGGTGGCAAATTATTTTACTGCACTTAAATAAGTTATTAAAGACTGTCAGCCTGAAGTAATATGGAACATGGATGAGACAGGACTGCAGCTAGACTTTAAGGCGCACAAAATAGTTGCTGCAAAAGGTACAAAATATTTACATATGAGAACAAGTGGAAATCGAGAAATGATTATTTTAATTGTTTGTGTGAATGCAGCAAGAAGAGCCTTACCACCTCATGTGATTCCAAAAGGAAAGACAGTAAAATCCCTTCAAAGTTTTCAAGTTCTAGATGCCCCTGAAGGAACCAACTGGAGTCCAAGTGAATCTGGATGGACTAAACATGGTTTAGTCCATCCAGATGGTTTGAGCTTACATTTTTGGATTTGGATGGTTTGAGCTTACATTTTTAAAAAACATTGGACCACAACGTCCACAAGTTTTAATTTTAGATGGCCACGATTTCCATAATTTCGTAGAGTTAATAGATATGGCCATACAAAACCAAATTGAAATTGTTGAATTACCTGCTCATACAAGCAATTGGCTTCAACCTTGTGATCGAACTGTATTTAAGCCATTCAAAGTTTCATATAATAAAGCAGCCCAGGATATGATGTCTAATCACCCTGGGGTTATAATAAACAAGGCCAATTTTACAGGACTTTTAACCAAAGCCTGGAATAAAAGTATGACAAAAGCTAATATTGAATCTGGCTTTAAATCATGTGGAATCTTTCCATATAATCCTTCAATTATTCCAGCTGAAGCTTACTTGCCAAACTATGTGTATTCTGAAGACAGGTTAATGACTAATCTCTTTGATCAAATTAAAACAGTTGATAATACAACAATAGTTAAGCAGATTAAGCAAACAACAGACAGCACAAAAGTACTTTTACCAGATATTGAGTTGGAACAACATCTAATTACCAACCCAAGATTTGCTGTAGCAAATGATCACGACTATTTAGCTGAACTAATAACCGTAGTAGAACATAGGAGTGATGATTTAGTGGAACTAAATATGAAAACTATAGAACTAAAAGCTGCAAGTAATAAAGCTACTAGTAAGTTTTAAGACAGCTTTAGGATTATGTCTTACTTTGAAATTGAACAGCCTATTGATCAGCATGAAGTTGATTTTACAGTTTCAACTCTTTTAGCTTCTGATTTTGCAAAAACTAGATCTTTTGCCCCAAAATTCCCTCTTTAAAAATTCATCTTATCCAGGAGATGGAGATAATGACATTTTGCCATATTCTTATCCAAATTTTACAAAGAGCAAAAAAGCTAAGAATGCAGACAAGTTTTTTGTGCTTACTTCTAAGGAAGCATATGAGTCACAGTTAAAGCAGAAGCAAAAACAAGCTCAAAATGAAAAGGAAAAAGAAATGCGTAAATTGAAAAGACTACAAAACTTAAAAATAAAGGAAGCAACGGTATTGTCAAAAGATAATCCTAGAAAAAAAACCATTGCTATAAAAATAAACCAATAAAAGTATAAAAAAGCAATGTGTAATTTGATCATGTTGTTATGAATTTTTGTTCTTAGTGTTTAAAAAAGTCTTTTATAGAGTTCACTGAGTTCTTTTTTTTTTTTTAATGTGAATATTATATTCTATGCAAATCTTTTAAAATAGTTTCAAAATCATTTTTGAATAGTTTTAAAATCATGTCCTGAAAACTTATTTTTTTTAGATTTAGGCATCCTTACTAAATTTATTTATTGATGAATGCTTAGTATTAAGTTAAGCAATCATTTTCTAACTGATGTTTAAGATCACATCAAAAAAATTATTGGTTCAATATTTAGTAATTCAATTAATTTTAAAATATTTTAAATGCCAACCCATAAAAGTATTATAAAAAGCTTGTTATTTATATTGGCTGTAATTAGGTTCATTCCGCATACGCCTGGCTGAAATTTGGTCATAGTGGCTGTATTTTGGTCAAATTTATATACTTTTTGTAATCATTGTTTTATCAAACATTTTTTATTTATAATAATTGCTGTAATTATATCCTAAATGCTGAAAGATTTATCTTTCTAGAAATGTATAATTTTCATATAGACCTCTTTGTTAATATGTCTGTAGAAACAATTTTGTAAAGATGCGGCTGGAATTTGGTCACTTTACCCTAAAGAATCCAAATTAAAGCGAACTTTAAAGAAGCCATTAAAAAGTGACGTTACCGTTTGTTTGTAATTTAATTAATAACTTGTAATTAAAGCTGAAAAGGCTAGTATCAATAATCTAGCAAAAAGTTCTCAGATTAAATTAAAAAACTAGTATTGAGAGAATTCGTATTTATTGATGTTTATATATTAAATTTATTCAACTCTCATACAAGATGTCATTTAATAAATAAAAAAATCTCATTGTAGAGATTTTTTTATTTATTTCGTGTTTTGAAAAAAGACCATGTTAAGATTCTTCGATGGCATACTCCTCAAACATTTTAAGACATGAAGTTATGGGAGAAAATCTTAAACAAACATTTGTAAAGCATGTAATCGAAATAAATGTGAAAGAGTAAACATGTCATTTTTTTTCAGTGGTTTTTCATATAATAGTAGATATGTATTCTCTCCAGATTCATCATCATGTCATTATAGCAAACTGGCTATGGGATGGTATAAAAAAAAATGAAGTAAAAGTTATGTCTAAAATATCAAAAAGTAATAATTGAAAATGAAAAAAAAAAAGAAGCTATGCAGAAACGTTAAAGATTTGAAAATGTCATTTAAAAAGTATCAAATAGTTTTGATTGTTGTTCATTGCACAAGCTTATGGGTACCACCAAAACAAAAGTTCGAAATTTTATTAGATGCTCACAGGAATAAATTAATTTCTTTGAATTATTTTATCTTCTTTTATTTTTGTATTAAAATTAATACTTAGTTTTAAATAAAAGTTGATGGGTACCTTTATTTTGTTGTTTTTCTACTTTTACATTTATTTTGTGTACACGCTTTACTCATAGTCATTTTGAAACCACCTTGGTTTTAAAATGACTATGAGTCTAAACGTTTGTTCAAACCACTTCGCTGCAGGATATTGTTCAGACGTTTTTCAAATATAGTGAAAAGTTTTTGAAAAAGTTATCAAATATCGTCTATTCGTTTTTTACTGAACTCTTATATAATATTAAAATATTACTAAATTCGTAATTTGTAATAAATTCTTTATACTTTGCATATCAACTTATTATGTTTAAAATGTATTAAAATTAAAAGATGAAAATTTTGAAATATTCTTTAAAAACAGATTTTTAATGTGAGATTATTATTTTTATTTTTATTTTTCTGCTTACTTAAATAAAATACGACTCAACCTTTTAAGTTTGCTTATTTTAAGAAATTTAATTACTCTCGCGTACTTAATAAAAGTTTAGGGTGATAGTAGGACTTTTAGTCCAGATTTGATAAACGGGATCGGGCTGGAATATTTTATTAAAGGGCTGGTTGGGAATTAATTTATTAAATCTATTTTCAATTTAATATTAACTAACAACTTTAAAATACTAACAATAAAAAAACGTCCATTTATTGTCGGCCTATAATCAAAAAAAAAAAAAGAAAATTGTATATATATATATATATATATATATATATATATATATATATATATATATATATATATATATATATATATATATACATATATATATATATATATATATATATATATATATATATATATATATATATATATATATATATATATATATATATATATATATATATATATAATACATATAATACATATAATACATTTCTATATTCTTTATTATAAATAGTTCATTAAAAGAATCATCGTTTTGAAAATCTAAATATTTTTCCGAGTTACCAAAAAGTGTAAAATTTTTTTCAAAAATCTTTTATTCAATATATGTTCAATATCTATCTTTCATGCGAGTCAACAGCCATTTTTCTAAGTAATCAACAATAGCAATTAAAGCTAAATTAACCACTTCACACTTATTTAGCCTATAACATTGGTCTTACTTTTGTCTAAAACATTATTTATTCACCTGCAGAAGCTCAATGAGGTCGGTTCAACAATGGTTTTTTAAAACTTTAAGAAGATGTCTGTAAAATAACTCACTAATGCTTAACCTTAACTAAATTCAAGAATTTTATTTTGGATTTGTCAATTAAAAAAATCAAACAATATCAAATATTTTGATATATTATAATCTCAAATTCAAGACTGCAACGTTAATTATTTACCTTACTTGCTGGGAATTTTTACATAAACAAAAAACTAACTAAAACGTTATAGTGTGAAATTGTGAAAAAATATGTTCTTACATAGATATTTTCATTATTCATCTTTCTGAAATCAATCTAACTTTTAATAATTTTGCAACAACATTGTTGGCCCATATATAAACTTGATGACGAAATTCGGAGAACCTTCCACTATAAATAATCACATTTGAAAGACTTCCTGAGAGTACAAGTAAACCAAGCCAATCATTAACACTGTACATTATAGGACCATATTTTAAAATTTGTTCTTTATTAAAATGAAAACTGAATAGATAGCATGACACAAAATAATTTACATTGCAAGGTAATGTTGTTAATATAAACATAAAAACAGCTAATATGAAAACAATAACGGTCTCACGATCTGCTTTAGTTAACGTACTTTTCCTCGTTACGTAGTTAGTTACAGAATACTTAATCCTTCTGAAACTCAACCGCTTTGAAGTTTTTGTCTTCTTTAAAGTTTCAGGATTTTCTGCATTATGCTCAACCATTTCAATCTCTGTGATAGATTTTCTTTTTGTACAAATGTTGTTGAAACAAAACGATGCTTTAAGAAAGTTTTTTGAACTTTTCTTTTTACTAAGAGAAATCTCATCTACGTATGTTTTTGAACCTATTTCATTTGAATTAAAAGAATTTGAAGTTTTTTTAGATTTTTTTTTAATAGACATGGAGTTATTGTCATTCATTTCAAAAAAATTTGATCTTTTTCGCATAGTTATGGTTACTCGCACTAAATAGTAAGATAAAAAAATAATTGGTATAACACTTTCAACTAAAAGTGACACTAATGCACTTATTGTTTGTTCCATTTCATTATAAAAATCTGTATAACACTCGTTTTTTAAGACATTAGTTCTAATAAAAATAAGAGTTTTTAATCCCATGCAAGCAATCCAGATGATCACAACTGAAATATGTATAACTTTTCTTGAAAACCGTCTAGCAAATGGATGACATATTGCTCGATATCTTTCGTATCCCATTAGACACAACACCCACGCACTAACATTTACTGAAAGCGGTCCGGAGACGGTTAATATTTTGCATAATTCTTTACCAATATTCCAAGTGTTATTTGTTGCCTGTGTGTATATGAAATATATAGGGGATACAACAGCGTAAAGGCAGTCAGCTATTGCAAGATGAACAACAAACCAACGAAACTGAACAGATTTTTTCATCTTTAAACTGAAGAATAGAATAACAAGAACATTTCCGATCAATCCACACACAAAAAAAAATGAATATAACACACTCTTAAAGATGACTTCCCAATGGCTATACATTGTTTTTTGTGTGTGTTCTCAACTAGGTTTTGTGGGTGTGTTTTCAACTTGGTATTTTTTTGCGTACGTGTTGAGGTGTATTCTTTGCGTTGCAATTCATTTATTTGAACAACAACTTTCTCGATGTTTTTGTTTGCCTTATGCAAATATATATAAACTTAAATATTATATAAATTCATTTTTGCATATATAAACCTAAATTAAAAATAGTTAAGAGTCTTATGTTTTTGTCGAACAATGAACGCAAACTAAACTAACGCACAACAACATCACTATATTTTTCAATATATACATAGATCGTTATACTTTATATATGAAAAATTATATATGAAAACTTTTAATTATGAACATAAATACTAAAATCATTAAGAAAAAAGTTCAAGAAAAGAAATTGCAAACACCATATTCTGAAAAAAATTAACAATCAGTAAGCACATTGTGATATCAATATTGCTGTATGCTTTTTACATTTACGCATATCCCCTACATTTTTTCGACATTAATATTTCAAAATGCAGTAAAATAAAGGAATTGAATAATTTAATAAAACTGTGCATACACTATTTATATGTTTGAAATAATCTTTCTACTGTAATAATAGATTCGTGATTTTTACTTATTTTATAAATATTTTTTTTATTATTTAAAACAAAAGATAGTATAAAATGACTTTCTTTTTATTTAATTTACAATCAATAGTTTTGATATGCATGTAATGTATATTTATGTAGGCATGTATTACTTAACAAATATAAGAAAAAATCAATGCAGAAATCTCTATGCGTAGATTTAACATTGATTTATATAAAAAAAGTATCCATTTAAAAATATTTGTTAACTTATTCTGTCAATTTATGAACAATTTGTGTTTTTAATAATAAGTGAAATAACTTAATAAAAAAATAAGTTAATATTAATTAATAAAATTAATAAATGAAAGGAATTCAAATAACAAACAGAATTCTTTTTTTCAAGCCCTTATGTGGGCGGAAAGCCGTCTACAAAAAATATATAGAGAGAGAAATATATATAAGAGAGAGAAAGCCTCACCAAAGTAAATATATAAACTGCAATAACACACAAAACAATCACATCGAAGTAACAAACAGTATATGCTACCAGTATTCTATATAATAAGAGTTGCCATCATCCCAGTTTTTAGGTAGAAGAGCGCTGAGCTAAGCTAATTGAAATAAAAATTTTTGTTGCTTTTTTCTACTGAAAAACCAAAACAATGGCAACACCAGCTATAACACATCTTATTCTATTAGTATAAAAAAATGTATTGTAAATGTACTACACATGTAATATTCTATCAGTATTTTCAAATTCTATAAAAATAATAAAAAATAGTATCAATATCTAGTGATTAATTTTTTTTGTTTTTCAAAAAAGAAATAAAATAAGTATTGTTTTGTTTAATAAAACAACTAAGGCATTTACATTTGGATTTCATAACAGTAATAATAAAAAAGATAAAGCAAAGATTTTAAACAAATTTTATTTAGTTAGTAATTGTTATTACACTTGCATAATAGAGAAGGGGGGGGGTGATATAGATGGAAATTTACACTTTTTTTTTTTGTATATGTAATATTTTTTTATTTAGTAACCACAATAAAAAAATTCTTGTTTTTCTTTACATTCAAGGTTTTTCCTATAACTTCACACTAAAGTAAAAAAAATATATACTTTTTTGATAACTAAATACTCCTTTTAAAACAACGCCGCTTATATTTCCATATTATGGATACATATTTCAAATATAGTATATGTATCTTATTTATCTTTTTAAAATGTAACTTATTTGTTTATCTCTTAAAATAATCTCGACCAGAGGCGTAGAAAGGTTTTTAAATGTTTGAAATAACCAACTTATAAACAACAAGAATATTCCAAACTTTTTTACGTTCATATGTATGACAAAAAAAATTTTTAAATAAAAAATTATTGTGATAGGATAATCGGAACAAGAAACCCTAAAATCTTAGTCCCCCTCCCCCTGCCCCAAACGTGAGAGCAACAAGTTGATGAAATTTTGTGGAGAGCTTTGTAGACTTCAAAGGAAGGTAAAGACTGGACATGATCCACAAAGCAGGACAGTATACATTAATTTACCGCATGGTGGAGCAAGGTAATACGCTTGATGTCTTCCAAACAAAGATTAAACCTCTGCATTTTCAGCTGTTAAGGTTTCTAATTAAAAGAACTAGATCATGGGCAATTTAATAGAATAGTATAGCTATTGATGCTTAAGATTATTTCAAAAGATATTAAAAGATGTTTTATACAACTCTATAATTACATAAACATTTTATTAAATTTTCTTGTATGTTAGTTAATGAAAGACAAAAGGTTTATAAAACATTTTATTTGTTGTATAATTTTTAGTTTTTCTTGAAGTCAAGACATCTGTAACTTATAATTTTCTTAGAGTTCATTAATAGTCATCCTTATTAATAAGATCTATACTAATATACAATCCAACTTAACTAATAATTTGAGTTTGATAAATTTTTTTTATTTAGAAGAAGTACTGTAATGAATAATCAAATATTATGTTGGATCAAAAAAGCTATAAACGCATTAGGTTATATAAGAAGGAAAAATAATATATAAAACAATAGCATACATAATATTAATTTTCAATATATATATATATATATATATATATATATATATATATATATATATATATATATATATATATATATATATATATATATATATAGTATATATATATATATATATATATATATATATATATATATATATATATATATATATATATATATATATATATATATATATATATATATATATATATATATATATATATATATATATAGACGCATATCAAACACGAGCAAAATTGCACTACTGCTCATCAACCAGGACGATAATAAATATCATATGAATTTGGAGAAAAGGTTATTCTCCAACGAATCTTATCATTCTTTATTTTACATTTTGACTGACAATACATATAAATACCACTAAACATTGGTTAGTCATAAGAATAAAATAACGAATCAGAAAAAAATATCATCAATTAGGTATGGCTTCAACTATTGCTTCCCGATGGGCACACGGACGTCCATAGTACGTTGAAGAACGTCCGAAATGGTCCGTTTGGACGTCCATTGGACGCACTAAATTTAACGACTTTGGCAACCCTTATTAGGACAATAAAAAGGTTACTTCATAAATAATTAAATCCCATTATTGACACAAATCATTACAAAAAAATAAAAATAGTAATATTTTTGACAATATTAATATATAAATACAATCTAGAAAAAACATTATTTTTTGGCTCATTTTAATATGTCGCCAATGGCACCCTCGATGTTGATTGCATCATAAGCAATTTTGTCACCAAAAATAGTATCTAAAGAAGTAATATTTATCACAAAGTTGTCATTCAATCATAAAGCATGTTTTAGAAAACCAAAAATAAACAATTAAATTCAAAAGCAAATTAAATAAACTTTGCTTTTGAATTTGATTTCCAAAAAGTTAACAAACTAAAAGACATCCGCAATAAAAATTTATATTAAAACACTTGTTAGTTTTTTCCAAAACATTAGTTTTGGAAAGTCATACATAAAATAAACTAAATTAAAATAAAAAACTACCCCAAATAAATTTGCAAGTAATGAATAGGAGAAAATGAGGATTGTACTGCTGTTTCACGTTCTGCTATTTACTGTTAACAAAAATATTTCAGTCTTATATAATATACAATAGCTAAAAACTCGCATTCAATGTTCACCTTTTATGCATTTATAATAAGGAGTGCTCGTAGATTTCCTTTTCTTCCATCCTCGCTAAACAAAGCCAGTATACCATGATAGCATTCAAAACATTAATAACTGTTTTCTGTGGAGTTGCTCCTCCCACTCCTCTCATTTGAGTAATTTTAAAAATTATTAAATAAACTAAAAGCATGATTAAATATTGAACCATTTTTAAATACCATAGAGAGTCACAACATATTGTGAGCAAATTATTTTTTACAAGTTTATATAAATACTAATATATATATACAAGACCACTGTGGTTAGAATTAAGTTGAGCGCGGTACTTTAAGAGACGTGGTGGGTATCAAATTTGGATTTTCTTGTTTAAAAAGCAAGAGCCTTCCAACACCACATCTAATACTATTATCAAAAAATTATTATTATTTTCACCAAATTTTTACACACCTAGGTATCATTCTTCAGCAATAATAAAAATTGGAATATAGACTTTTATTGTCAAAGTGAGTGAACATTAGAAGTTACCTTGCATTTTCTTGGATTTGAATTTGTTTTTAAAATATTTTCAATAATATTGAATCTCTCAAATGAACTTATTGGGTTGTTTTTTTTCTACATTGCATCAATCAAAATAAAATCAACATCTCCAATTTGTTTGATGTTTCTAAGCCTATCAAGGGTTCGGGCTTGCAAATCTTAAATCCTCTGAAAATTTTTCTGCAAATTTAAAGCAAAGTGTATTGAAATTCTAAACAAAGAATAAAATCATAGATAAAAAATAGATACACGGATACATTTATGTATTAACAAGATACATGATTGTATCCAAGATACATGAATGTATCCAAGATTCATGAATGTATCCAAGATTCATGAATGTATCCAAGATACATAAATGTATCCAAGATACATGAGGGTATCCAAAATACATGAATGTATCCAAGATACATAAATGTAACAACATTAAAAAATCTTTTTATTCAGAGTAACATTTCTTTAACAGTTTTATAATCATTGTTCCATAGTTGTGTGACTTAAATAGCCTTGCTATTTAAGCCACACAACTAATAATAGCCTTGCTGTTTCGTCTCAATAAAAATGATATTGAAAAAATTTATAAACAATTTTTTTTTTTTGATGCAAATAAAAAAAATAAAATAAAATTTACGTTAAATTATCATCTCTTGAACTAAAATGTATATGTATATACAGAGCCGTGGCTAGGCACCCCCAAACCCCCCAATTGGGGGGGGCAGTATTTTTAGGGGCCCTTTTTAAAAGTTAAAATATCTTTTAACTTTAAAAGGGTTTAAGTGAAGTAAAAAGATTTGCATTTTAACCATTATATTAACTAAGTTATGCATGCTACAAAGTAAAAAAAGCAAAAGTCATTTTTACGCAAAAACAATTTACACTCCCGAGTTCTTTTGTTTTGTTAGAAGTTTTTTGAGAAACCACTATAGCGGTTTGTCTGATGTTATTTTAGCGGTTTGTCTGATGTTATTTAGCGGTTTGTTTGAAAATCATGAAATACCCCAAGCTAACACATTTTTTAAAACCAGCAGTTCCGGCTAGCAGTGTTTTGATATCAACAAATAATTTTGATTGTGATTATTTGGGTACTAGACTAGAGTCAGATGGGTTAATCTATGACTCAAATGCAAAGTCAAATGTAAGTCATGGTTTAATCTGTGAATCAAATGCCACAACAAATCCACTAATATTTCTCAGTGATGATCCTTCTGATTGGCCTGATAATGTTTCTAACGCTCAGAAGTGTGATGTTGTTAAACGAGGTTTAAAAAAGATTGAAATCGACTTTCCAAAAAATTCAAAAAGAAGACGATTTTCCATGAGTTATTATAACCGCAAAATGAAAAATGGAGAAATCTTTGAAAGATCATGGCTAATATATTCTTTAAATAGTGATAAAGTGTTTTGTTTCTGTTGCAAACTTTTTGGGATAACTTCTTCACTATTTCGAAAAGGAATAAACACGTGGGAAGGCTTATCAAAAAAACTTAAAGAACACGAAACATGCAGTGCACATTTAAAATACTTTGAACATTGGATGACATTACGAAAAGGTAACTGATATTTCATTTAATTTGTTTTGTTACTTTTTTTATTGCTAAAATATTTTTTTTTTTTTTCAATTTTGACAATGCATGCATAGCAAATCAAGCTACCATAGACGAGCAACAACAAAAGTTGCTTCATAAAGAGCGGGTATTTTGGAGATCTGTGTTGGAAAGGATACTGGACATTACGTTATTTTTTTCAGCAAGAAATCTGGCATTCCGTGGTTCAGACACGGCAATTGGTTCAAAGAGCAATGGAAATTTTCTTGGGGTGTTTGAATTACTGGCTAAGTACGATGCCGTCCTCAAGGAGCTTCTGTTAAGAATTCAGGACAAAAAAACAAACGCTCACTATTTGAGCAATGACACACAGAACGAGTTGATTAGATGTTTAGCGCAGGAGATTGAATCAGAAAACCTTTCTATGGTAAAAAAAGTAAAATACTATTCGGTTATTTTAGATTGCACGCCAGACGTTTCGCACAAAGAACAAATGAGCATAATTTTAAGATGAGTGACATGTACTTCTAGAGTAGGTATTAACATTTCCGAAAATTTCTTTGGATATCTCACAGTAAATGATACCACTGGAAAAGGGCTTATTGATGCCTTTTTAAATCAGGCAAAAAAATGGGATCTAAATATTCTTGATTGTCGAGGCCAATCTTATGATAATGGTGCTAACATGAAAGGAAAACTTAAAGGCGTTCAAGACAGGCTTCTAGAAATGAACCCAAAGACTATATATGTTCCATGTGCAAATCATTCACTGAATCTTGTTATTGTTGATGGTGCACTGTCATCTATCAGTGCAATATCTTTTTTTGGAGTTCTTAAAAGATTGTATACCCCCTTTTCATCGTCTCCTCCTCGATGGGAAATTTTCAAATCGTGTGTAGAAATTTCTGTCAAACCACAATCAGATACAAGATGGGAAAGTAAAATAAACTGTGTTAAACCACTTCGCTATTATCTGAAAGAAATTTTAGAGGCACACGACAGATTGGAAAAACATGCCTTTGAAAAGAAAGATGGGGCAACAGCCATAGAAGTACGATCTCTGATTGAATATATTAGGACATGGCCTTTCTTATTATCAATCATTATTTGGTATGACGTTTTATTTCAAATCAACAAATCAAGTAAGCTTCTTCAGTCTTCTACAACCTCTCTTGACATATTGGCTAGTGAAATAAAAGCAACAAATACATTTCTTTATGAGTATCGTGAGACTGGATTTACTGACGCACATATTAAAGCACAAGAAATTGCAGAAGAATTGGGCATTGAAAAGGTTTTTCCAACAGTGCGCTTACGAAAAAAAAAAATGTATTCATACGAGTGTGCTGATGAAACTCGGCAACCTGAGCATCAGTATAAAGCAGATTTCTTTTTGCCACTCATTGACATGTCAATTGCATCAGTAAAGGAGCGTTTTGAACAGGTCAGTATCTTCACAAATCTATTTGACTTTCTTTACCGGTCTGAGAGTCTTATCAAAGCCTGTAATGAAAATTCTCTTACTGTATTTTGCACAAATTTGCAAACGAAGCTCGGTGATATAGATTCTGAGGATTTGGAAATGGAGTTGAAACGATTTGTCATAGTTGTACAAGAGGACAAAAATACAAACCTGAAATCTGCATATGACTTCCTTAACTACGTCTACAAAGAAGAGCTGCAGGAAACTTATTCTAATCTAGTTATTGCGTTACGCATCATTCTTACTTCTCCAGTAACTGTTGCAAGTGCAGAACGTAGCTTTAGCAAGTTAAAATTAATTAAAACTTTTCATAGGTCAGTATAAATACTCTTACTTCCTTATACGTAAACACATATAACTATATTTCTTTGTATCTTTATGTAGGTCAACAATGGTTGATGAACGTTTGTCTTCCCTAGCAATGCTGTCAATCGAGAACGAGGTGGCAAAGAAATTAAGTTATGAAGGCTTAACAAATAAGTTTGCAAGTATGAAAACACGACGCAAACCTTTTTTTTGACCTGTGAATGCCTAATACATTCACAGTAGTCAAAGAAACTTTTTGTTTTAAACTCTTAATAAATATAACAATTATAAAATATACTTAATTAAATTAAAGGGTTAATTTTATTGTTTTTTTTCTCGTGAACGACTACTTAAAAATATGTTCGGTGCATTATAAAAGATACGCCTTGCGCTTTTTGAAAAAAAAAAGTGTCAATTTAAACGCATGAACCTGTGTGAACCTGTTCTGGAAGATTCTAGATGCTTCTTTTTGATGCTTCTGGATGCGTCTGGATTCTTCTGAATGTTTCTCGATACTTCTGAATGCTTCTGAATACTTCTTCTGGAAACTTCTGAAAGCTTCTGCATGCTTCTGGAAACTTCTAGATACTTCCTTTAATTATTAAAAAACTTCCGTGACGTTGACACGGACCAGACTTTAGAAAATAAAACAAACCAAAAAAGTTGCACTTGTTTTGTCCGCTGCAAAATGGCATTTGTCAACGAAATTCTGCCAGTGCGCTATCACCTGTCAGCTGATTGCTTATGTCATGTCATGGCATATATATATATATATATATATATATATATATATATATATATATATATATATATATATATATATATATATATATATATATATATATACATGCATATATATATATATATATATATATACATGCATATATATATATATATATATATATATATATATGTATATACATATATATGTATATATATATATATATATATATATATATATATATATATATATATATATATATATATATATATGTATATATAAATATATATATATATATATATATATAGGCCTCGGCGGGAAGCGAGAGCTCTCGCTTTCGCCCGCACTCCCCTAAAACAATTTGAAATCGTTTTAGGGGAGTGCGGGCGAAATGAATCGTTTTAAAGGGAGCAATTTATGGATCTCGCAAAAGAATAATTTTTTCTATCAAAAGTATATTTATCACTGTTACTAAAATAAATAACACAGTCATTTTAATAATTATTTTTAATAATTCTTAAAATGCCTACATTTTATTACAATAAGAAAATATAAAACTTTTTTTATAAGCAGTAAAAAATAATGTTTTCATACTGCAATAAATGGCACTTGTTATGTACATAGATCACCCTAGTCATATTTTTAAAATCTGGAAAATTGTTTGAATAAAATATCAGGAAAAAATCCGGAAATTGTTTTCCCTTATTTTCTTTTTAATTTCGTTTTTAGCTGAGTTGTTTTTAATTTTTTTGACTCTTTTCACAATTTTTCTGCGAGTGATGAGTGAAAAAAGCCTAAAAAACAAATATATTACAAAAATATATACCTCAACTTGCATGTATTAAAAATGTTTTGAATATCCGGAAAAATAAATATTTTAAAAAAATAATCGGAATTCCGGAAATATCCGGAAAAAGATAATCCCTGTAAGTAAATATTTTTGTAATATTAATATAAAATATGCTTGATATGGCACAACAAATCTACGAACGTGCAAACTTTTTGTTAAAAAAAAAACAACAGGAAAATGAACATCACGTTTCTATATTATTGCATATGCAAAATATGTTGGCTTTTGCTTAAATTTTTTAAAATGACACGCAATACTTTAGCAATTTTTTTTTCAAATAACTATGCGATTGATAGTTATTTATTTTTTATAAAAACAAACAACAATTAGTTACTAAAATTTAAAAACACATTTAAAAAATTTTAAAAGAAATGATGCTAAAGCACGACTATTTCTTACTATTTAGTAAAATAAATAAGGACCTGATTACTTGAGGAAATATATCCCGCTTTACCGATACGGGACGATTAGCCGAGATCTCGGTTTTTGTTTTTTTTTATTTATTTACACTTTTGCCGATAAAGAAAAAATTTACAGTCGTAACTTATAAAAAAAAATAATTACATGACCGGGGCTAGAAGAAGACAAATTTAGTCTTATCATTAAGCCCCAAAAAATGCGTCATTACTAGACAAAATATAGTTTGACAATAAAATATAGTTTCAGGT